CGTTATTTTCTTCTTTTTCTTCTGTATTTAAAATATTTTAAGTATTTTTTTAAATAAACTTGTTTTATAAATTTCAACACGTCTTCAAAATTAATGTCCAAAAAACCTCAAAAATACATTTTTTCGAGTATAAAATTTATTTGAAATATGCACTTCGTATGGAAGTATTTAAATTCCGCCCACCCCAAACATTTTTTCAACTACAAAATGTATTTAAAATACGTACTTCATTTACATGTTTTTAAATTCTGCCGAGTCCCGGTAGTACGAATAGTTAGATTTATATTTATACGATTGGAGAGGGTTCGTTAAATATGATTTTCGTTTGATTTGGAGCGCGTCACTCGCTTGTCTCAGCGCTGGCTGCGCGAGCGGCGTTTTGCGCGCGACCTCTCTTGTCCGAAGCGGCCTTAGTGGGGCCGGAGGAGGGGGAAGTTTGGAAAGTAATCAGGAAGCATACCTCTCCTGTCAGTTAAAGTTTGATCTTTTTCTTTTTATTAAATTTACGGTCGCATCAACTTGTAGGTCATTAGCGACCTCTGATGCTTGTAGCGGTATAGAAACTGTGACGACGACACGATATGATGATAGGGGGTGAAAGGACGAACACGATACAACCATGCCCGAATCGGGACTCAAACCCGCGATCCTTCGGTCCGGGATCGCCACGGCACTATTGCCTTGACCACAGGATCGGCTAGGTTTGATCTTGCACTAGTGCACTACGCGCGGCGCAATTCTTTGCGCTCAAAGAAAGAAGAGAGTTGTGTTTTTCGATGTAAATAGTTTTGCTTTCTCGAGCAGTAGAATCGTATGCGCTACGGATACGATATTCCGATGTGTGTACTTTAAATCTGATTTAGTAAAACACATATTCCTTAAATAATAATTTGGTAATTCCAAGTAGAAACTTCGTGTCACAACGGAATGAAATATTTAAATCCGGTTTTTCATATTGTCTTTTAGTTAGCTTTCAGGCCCTTCCAAGCTATATTACCTGACACTAATTCTGGAATTTATCTAGTTTTCAAAACATTAATCAAACTTTGCTAATGTTTTCCCAATTTGGCGTTAAGATACTTTGTTCCGAATGATGCACACCTAGTTTTGTTAGCATTTCCACTTACGATATTCATTTTCCTTGTTCTTCTATGAAATTGGTTTTTAATGTCCAAAGCTCCTTTCTGCCTCTTTGCCCTCTCTGGCCCAGCGCGTAGCGCGGAGGGGGGGAGGGTCCGTGTGATGGCGGCCGCGGCGCGCGCGCTGCGCTCCTGGTGCCCAGTGGTTGATGCGAGGCTTTCGACGCAGATTGACGCGTCTCGATCGTTGTCGTGCGTGGCACCCTAGTGCTTGAAACTGACTTGTTTGCGCGATGTAAAACGCAACGAGGAGTCGGGGCGCGGAGTGATTCAGCGAAAAGTACTCGTCTTGAGAAAGGTGTGTTCATTATATCTGACAAAGATGAAAAATAGATACACATAAAATGAAATAAAGTTGGTGGTATAGGTTCTCAGACAATTACTTTTTGTTGTTCCACTATCTTTCATTTTGCAGCTTATTAATACGTCCCTCAAATGAATGTAAATCAATGACGGTATAATAAAATCGCAATTTCATTGCAAAAAATTAGGTATTACAAATTTAGATTAATTAAGTATTACAAATTAAGTATTACAAATATATAGTTCTATTAAGTTTTTAACCAAAATATAAGCTTTTTAGAAATAAATAAGATATAACGATTTTCATATAGTTCGAATGATGCTATTTTACAAAATATTGAAATAAAATGTTTAGTACAACAAATGGTATTAGATGTGCAAAAGAGATGAGAATAAAGTGAGCGATTTATTCCCCAAATATTCAAACTCAAAAGATGGGAATGTCGGCTTGTAAAATGAAGCCAACTCTCCTGAACCTCTATTCTGCATGAGGGGACGCCTTTGTCCCACCTGGTTTTCATTTGGAGGATCAAGTGTACCAGCGCATCCGTTTCTTTCATGCAGGATCGTAAACCTGTATGTTCGTCGAGCGAGACGCTGGTGCACGTGCTAAGCAGGAGGCAAACGAAAGTGGACGAGTTGAAATGGACTGCTCAAAATATTTGTCTTGGCCACGTAAACTGTCTGTTAAGTGCTGTAGATGCAACGACGTCTAGCTTGCGGATAATTAGGGCGCGGATCACTCGCGTTTGTCGAATTTATTTGCTACTGAATTTGATACGCTTAGGTCGGTCAAAAGGAACAAAATTAGATGAGGCGCGTGGAATATTCAGCATTTCGGTTTTTAAAGAAAAAAAGTTAAAACTGGAACCGGCCTTTGGTGGACACGCTGTGAAGATATACTTAAGATATTTAATTAGGGCTCTTAAGATAATTATTCGGCTCTTATCATTCAAGCCCGATACTGTTCATAGATAAAAATGCTAATGATTTTAAGTGTTTTTTATAAACAGAAAAATCAGTGTAATTAACGAACGGAAGAAATAGTCCATTCATTTCTTGATAGATTTGGAGATGATATCCATTTTTAACTGTCGTCCTACAGCGTGAAGTAAGCAGAAAACCTAAACCTCCGAAATATAAAAGATTGGTTTCATTTTTTATATATTTTGGGCCAACAAATTTAACTTTGTATTTTGTATTTTTATTTATTGTATTGTAATAGCGGATCTGAAAACCGGGTTTCAAGGGCATTTTTATAAAATCGTTTCAGCGTCTCTGAAAGAACATAACGTGTGTTGGGGATCGCATGTGTGCTTGCTATTGACATAATTTACAAAATTTCACATTTCCTGTATTAAATTTGTGTGATGCGCCCCTGGGTGAAAACTCTATATCCATCTGTAGAAAATGTGTAGGTTTCTGTCTACGGAGTTATAAATCATCTAAAACCGTCTTCTTCTCTTAGCATTTTACAAGATAAGACAACGATTGATTACCTACGATATTTATTCATCAAAGTAATCTATTAATCATGAAAATCGTCTATTAATTATCAAAACCATCTATTAATTATCGGAACCAAATATTACTTATCAAAATAGCCTATTAATTTGTCAGAATCACCTATTAATAATACAAATCAATTGTGAAATATGATAAACACTCATTAATGATCAAAAGCATGTATTAATTATCAGAATTGTGTATTAAACAGCCCAAGTTTGCTCGAATTCACACCGCCTCGCCACTGCCTCCCGTTTGCCACGCTCCCCGCTTGCCACGCCTCCTTTCATTAGCCAAAGGAAGGAATTTTAGGATGATTATTTTCTTCGAAGCTAACGACAGATGTTCACTTTCATAATAAAAATCTAATTCATTGATCGCCAAAGCTTCAACAGTGAATTATTATTCCCTTCACGCGCCTTCAAAATCGAATTTACCTTTCACAGGTCGATGAACTACCTAGCATGAAACTGACGCTATCTGTTGATTGTGAAAGTTCAAACTCTAACTACCTTTCGATTGAGCCGTTCGAAGACTTATTGTCACCTTGAAGTAGTAAACGATACGTTTCCAAGCCGTTGTGGCCCAATACTAAAACGTTAGCGTCTGGCCCAAAAGCTCGAGATCAAACCGCCATTGTCACCGTCGCGGTCGGAAAAGTCAGGTGTTTGTATCCCAAACTTCCACCATCCAATCGGTTGGCCGGCGCAAGTACCTGAAGACCAAATCGCCACTATTGCATTGATCAGCCGGGGCAAGTACTGGCAAGCCAATCCTCGTCCATTGCATCGGTCGGGCGCGGCGAGTACTTCAAGCCCTAACCGCCGCCGTCGAACGGAAGAGGCGCTCCGCGTCAGAACCACAGCGCTTCGCGATTGTCGCAATCTGCCAAGGAAACGCGCGGCGGCGGCCTGGTGGCGCGGTGAGCGGGGAGCGGGGTGGGGGCCGCGAGGGAGAGCGGGCCGGGGCGGAGGCACGCGCGCTCAGTGCCGCAGAGGAGGGCGAGCTGTGAGGAGGGCGCGCGCGGCTCGTTTGCTCGCCAAGAGCCAAGCGCGTGACTCCCTCGTGGCCCGTCTGTTGTGCTTCGACGCTGCAGATCTTCGCCGCCGACTCCGGTGCGATGGCGGGTCGCTCGCGAGATTGATTCGTGAGAACAGTGACAAGTTTCGTGCATACGCATTCGTACGTTTTAAAACCGCTATGGTACGCTTAAATTAGTTGTGTGGTGTGTGATTGCGGCAAAAACGTTGTTTGTGTGCGTTGACGAAGTGTTTATTCCCGAAAGGATTACGAATTTTGATGTGATGTACGCGGCAGGCTTCAGTGAATGTGTCTGAGGATAAATTGTGTTACGTTCGTGTTTCCTCGCCGAAGACAGTTAATGACAGATGCAAGGTTTCTTTGTTGAATAGTTCAATTCGAGTTCGCTCTCCAGTGTGTCGAAAGCGACACAAAGACACTAGTGAATTTCTTATGCTAGACGTTGCGTCATGACAGCTAAGGCAAGTTCTTGAAGCTCAAACCGCCTCCCTTGCATAGATTGGCCGAGGCGAGTGCCACTATTGCGCAGGCTGGCCGCCGGCCTCTCGCATGACAGGCGTCGCGTTGGCGCCGGAATAACCGCGACGTCGAGCAGGAAGATGAGGAGGCGCGCGGTGGCCGGATAAGCGCAGGGGCTGCCATGATGGACGTGGTGGAGCGGCGTCGCGACGCCCTGGCGTCGCCGCAGGCGCTGCTCCTGCGGCGGTCGCGCTCGGTCCGCGCGTCGCTGCGCCTGCGCTGGAAGGCGATGGGGTCTGCGGGCGGCGGCGGCGGGGGCGGGGGCCCGTTCTCGTCGTCCGCGCTGCCGCGCCCGCCCACCTCCAAGGACCTGACGAGCACCACGGTGCAGAACGCTCCGCGTCAAGGCGCTGCGCAGCCCGCCGCCCGTGCCCGGGAGCAGCCCGAGCCGCCGCCCCCCGCGCGTCGTGTCCATGCTGGACGTGGTGGTGGGCAAGATGACCCGGTCCGCCGGCGGCCGCCCCCGCCGCTGCCGCCCCGCCCCGCCCCCACCCCCGCACCGCCACAGGCCGCCCAGCCTCCTCCTGCACAAGGTCGCGGAGCAGTGCGAGCGGCACAACACGTTCCCGAGGATGGGCGCGCAGCTCCCCTTCGACGAGGAGGAGGAGGAGAATGTGTACATTAACTTGCCGCCTCCCTCTGCGCAGTGGCCGTCCAACTCCGCGCCCAACCCCGGCCACCACGAACACCACAATAGGTTGATCAACTTCAAGACCACGATGGTAAAACGGAGAAACTCTATGTGGTCCTCTACGTCCAGGCCCAGTACGTACCCAACGTTCGTACCGCAGTACACACCCACGTTTCTACTTGCTTCTTACGTTCCCAGAAATGAATGTTGATTGCAGCGTAACTCTTTGCTGGATACATCTGAAGGACTCACATTATTTCATAGCTTGTCTTTCTGTCGCCTACTCTTGCGTATTTTGCTTGACACAAGCTGTTCTTTTGGCCCTGCTTCCTACATTAAATATTTTATTTATTTATCCTTTTTATCCATTTATTTAGTTATTTTTTATTACATTGCAGAACTGCAGGAAGAAGGTATGGAGTTTCTTGTTGATGGGTTCAATTTGACTAAAACTACCAAGAAGAAAGTTGAAACAAAACTAAACAAAATAAATATTCATGTCCATGGTAAGAAATGAAACCTCAGTTTTTAGTTCTACCTGTATTTAATTTTTATTTTATAATTTCCTTTCCTTTTTTATTGTCATCCTTCATTTTGCTCTCTCCTTTCCATACAGCCCACCACAAAAAAACTATGGAAACTAAGAATGTTGCTATTTCTTACATGTCACCTTTTATTCTGTTGCAGCTCTCTTTGCTGCAGTGGAAAATGGTCATGTAGACAGAGCTCGGACTATTTTAGAGTCTACTGATGTGGATGTTAATAGGTAAATAAATGAATAATTGATTGCTAAGTCATGGCAGAAATTATTTCTTTTAACTTAATGATTGTTATTTATCTTTTCAATTTTCTACTTTTATACTTTCCGGATGATTCTTAATGTTCTTGTTCGTGTATTATTTTCAGTGTAAATAGCGATGGTCTGTCTCCGTTGGATGTAGCTGTCCTAAATAATAACAGACAATTAGCCAAAATGTTGGTTGCATTTGGTGCTCAAGAAGGAAACCAATGTAAGTTGAAAAAGTTCTGTTAAAGGTACAGAGGCTGTGGCTCTTCAGCCCAGTCGACTTCATTAAGACACAATATGAAAAATAAAACAACTAGTGTAATAGATTATTAAAATAATATAAAATACAATTGGAAACAATGAGAGTTCAGTAAACTAATATTGAAAGCTCACACATATTTAAATGAAGATGTAAATATCTGTTCTGCTATTACATTTTTCTCTGAAGTATCAGACATGTCCAGAATCTTCATGACTTTTATAATCATTTCTTACTTCAATTATTTAACTTCACATTGCTAAGCATTCCAAATAGCCTTTAATAATGCAATTAAGAAAGACTTAATAACTTTAATACACACACTTCCTCAAAACTGAATTTTGTGAAATTAGAACACAAAATGTCTAAAACGTTGATTAGAACTGTTCATGAGTTAAATTGCAGAACACTGTAATATGTCATGTCAAGATCAAAACAGCATTGTAGAACTGTAATTTTTATTCTTGGTTTTAGCTTAGATGTTGTTCTGTACAAAGATCTCGTGCATTTAGTAGTTTCCAGAACGGAAATGTACTGAGAAACCAAACTTTTACATCATTGTTATGTAACATTTAAAAACAGAGTTAAAAGTTGGTTGTGCGTTAGCAACATGTCTTTGGCCATGAAATAATCTCCCCTCAGGATAAAACCATTCTCATACATAATGACAATTTTTGAAATTGCCACTTTTATTGTGCACTGACAACAATGTTCAACTACTACTAATTTTAAAGAGACAAGAACATTTGAGTCTGACAACTTCATACAACCTAAATAAAAATTAAATTTATAGGAAGTATACTTTTCTTTAGACAATATTCCCTCATTTATGCAATTTTCTTATGAAATGTTTTATACATAATCTCATGTCATGGTTCCTAATGAATAATAAGAAAGTTTTTATAGTAGAATATTTATTACAGGGCTCACTATTAAATTTGTTGTGAACTTAATTGGAATTGTCTTTAACATTTCAGTTAAAACTCCTGAATCCCTTGGTTGTCACCTAAAGCAACTTCTTATGGAAGCTGAAAGAAAAGTGCAAGAGTTAGGTGGTGGCCTTCTGTCTATTGAAGATACATCTTGTAACAATAATAATAATAACAACAATACTAGAGCATCATTTAGTATTATCAGCAGTCATGGTGCTTCTGCAACAATGACTGGCTGCGGAGGTGGAGCGGAAGCAGCCGTTGACAAGCAGCTACTGCTCTGGGAGAGACGAGCTAAAGGATTAAAGAAAATGTTATTAGGTTTTGATCAAGCAAGTACGTGATCCTGCATTGTATTAAATGAAAATATAGTGCACAAGGAAAGTCTCTCTTCACTGGGCCAAGTCAGGACTCCTATTAAGAATGACAGTGATATTGTTAGCAAATGGATGGCTGGGAAACAAGTGAAGGGAATAACACTTGCAGCTTATGTTATGATTGTGGTGAGTGTAGTATTTAAGTTTTCTTTTGTTACATGCTGCTACCAACATAATTTTTGTTGCAAGCACCAAGGACCACTGCAAAGAGACTTTTCTGGTGTGCTGTATTAGTTCCAGTTTTGTAGAAATACACTGTCTTAGCAATAACAATCATTACTAAATAGGACCTCCAGATGTACCTTTCTTGGTTGCTGTTGATGTAACGGGAACAAATTCTGTAAATGTAAGATTCCAAGAGCCTGAACAACAAGACTCGGCTATATGCACCAAATTCAAAGGTAACATTACAATTATGATTATTAATGATCCATTTGTTTAGAGCAAATATGTTGTGTTAACATGGAAAGTAATGTTTTTAAAAATCTTTCTGTAGTTCAATGGAGCTGCTCAGAAGCCTTCAGTCCTTTAGCTGGAGAGAGAGAAATTTTAGATATGAAACACATGGAATGTCACATAGGTGATCTGATTCAAGGACAAAGGTATTATTTCCGAGTAGCTTGTGGCAACTTGAAAGGATATGGAAAGTTTAGGCAGTCTACACCTACATCAGTTATTCCTTCTAGTAAGTAACTAAAAATGTTGCTTTCAGAGAGTATTGAGAATTTACATGAAAGTTAAATGCATAATAGTAATATGATATTGATGTTTTTATGTATTACCTGTTATACATTATCCTGAATTTCTTCTCATTTTAGCTTAAAAATTAAATCATTGTATGATTTAGAATTTATGATTTTCTCTACACATATTTTTTCCTTCACAATATTAAAATTGATAATGATAATTTTAGGTTGGCGGGATGTTGAGGGTCGTGAGCCAAGATTTGCAGGACGTCTGCAACTTCTTGATGACCTGTTTTCTGAAATAAGAAGTTCAAGACCAGAACATGCAGCAGAAATAAAAGCTACTGTTCAAGCTGGAGAAACTCCTGGAATTCAAAGACGAAATCAAAGAAAGAAAACTACTATTAAACAACTCTTTACTGTGGCATCAAAATTTCAGAAAAATTTAAGAAGGTATGTTTATACATATGTCCTCTTTTGATGGTAGCATTAATATTCACTTTTACTTCTGGCTTTACTAGTCTTCTCAGAGGTTGTTCATAAAATATGTGTTACATAGGGATAGGAGATATAAGTTTAGTGTTACATAATGCTGATGTTCATTTTTTTTTCTTTTTTCAGTATTTTCTTAAATAATTTCTTTTCTTCAGACTTACACAAAACTAAAACTTTAAAATATTAACAATTTTTTTATATTAAGTTATTTTAAAAAATATAAATAAATTAAAAAGTTTAGATTCATAAGTCGTTACAATTAATAAAAATATTTTTTCCTCAGTAGTATGATGATTAAATCTTTTATATTACAAAAAACAAACAAACCTGATCTACATTCTGAATCAAATTAAATTGGCACAGTAGACTCTCACCCATGCAACCATGACAGCGTGTTCACTGATTTTTGACAGAAATTTTCTCACCTCTGTGACCTTCTTTCAGTCAAAACTTGTCCCCAATCATTTTGTTTGATATAATCCACATCACCACCCTGTGATGTGGATTTATTCAGAATGAACCCTTTCATCTAAGTAAACAGATTTCCATCTTACACAAATTATTACAACAATAAGTGTTGATTTTCATGTTATTAAATTTGATTTTTCACATATCTCTTCATAATTTCATCATTTTAAGTTTATTTCTCTGTCATTAAAGCTAAATCTATTTCTATTATTATTTGATATTTATGTTATGATTGAGTAGTCCCAAACACCTTGGAATTTCAGTAATATTAACAGAACCATTTTAAGAATTACTTAAGTTTTAAGTCCTGGTGACAATGGGACCCCATTTTAGAATATTTTTTTTATTACAATTTTATTACTTTTTAATTTTTAATACAATAATCAAAAAAATTCTTAATAAATTAATTAATCTAATTTTTATACATATATCCAAAACGAATCTGTAACTGGATTGACAAATTTATATTTTAGATAATTACTAATTCATGATCAAAATTTTATACTAGAGTACATTGGGGAAACAAAGCCACGAAGGGGAAAATGACTCAGCACTCACTTGAAATTGATAGATTTCATTTTCTGTATTTATTTGTTCAATATGTGTATATATTTACATTACTTCAATTACTAAAATCTTTGAAATAAAACAAATACTTTTTTCCAAATTTTTAAATTATAAATTTCTCTTTTCAAATTTCACTTTCATTCTCTCAAAATTCAGGGCACTAGGCTTCAGCCTAATTAGACAATTGATCATGTCAGTACTGAATAATAACTCTTCAAATGGTGAAGAATTTTTAGCAAGAGAAATCATATACATAAAGCACTTAATATTTACAAAATAAATATTATTAATGTAATTTCATATTATCAAGAAAACTTGTATTTTAAGTCAATTTTGAAATGTATTTCCTTCAGGGGTGTATTTCTGGCCTGTTTATTGTACCATGAAGATAAAGTGTTAGTAACTAATGAAGACTTCTTGCCTGTGATTGAAGTGGATGAAACATATCCTAATTGTATATATAATGATTTTCACTGGCTAATGAAGGTATGTGTGGTTTTTATTCAGAAAAAAAACAAAAAAACTCATCTCTGTAGCATTAAAATATTTTTTTTATCAAATAAAATTTACTTATATATTTATTTATTTATTGTTTCTTCAGGTTGCTTGTACATGGGATGATGTCAAATCTCTTCGACAGGATATGGAGAAAAGCCTCAGCTCTTCTACTGTACATTTTCGTATCAAGTTGTTACAAGCAGCTGCACAAATGCAGGTAAAACAAGAAATTCAGAAAAATATTAGAAGCAGATTAGTTTTTGTTTATTAAATTTGTTTCAATTAACTAGTTAAACAAATTAAAATTTTAGCAATAATGAGAATACCATTACTATTTAAAATTTCTCCAGTTTAACTTAAATTGAACCACTATTAAGTGAATCTTTATCAACACTTTTTTTTCCTTTTGGGAGTATAACGTGTTGGTATGAAAATGATATTCAAATTAATTATTTTAATTAACATGTAGTACTTATACGCAGAAAGTGTGATTATATGCAAACAGTTATTTTGTATATACTAATTATGTGTTTTACAGGAAAACTGTTATTCATTCGTTTTCTAGAACTATGTTCTATTAAATGAATTTCTGATGTATTTTACAGACTGCTTTGTGTATGCAAGATCTTGGACAACTCTTCCATAGACCAATAAAGGATTCTCAGGGAACATTAGTGATCTCCACAGTAAATTATGTACGCTCACCAAAATGTGTATCTGTTTTGAACTCAAGATGGCTCCCATTAAGTAAAGTGCAAAAGAAACTGGCTACTCATGAGGAACCGCATGTGGGGGAATTGCTTATGGCTTCCATACAGGTGATAGTTTTCTTCTACACTGAAAATACTGTGATACAAGATTTATCAGTGATAGTCTTTATAACTGAGAGACCAATGCTTTTTTGTATTTAGGAACAAATAACTTATCATCAAGTTAGCAGCATCAGACTTGGAAGAGGATTATATTTAGGATATTTAAGGATGAGGAGTTCTGTGGATCTCATTCAAGTAGTTGTACCTACTAAAACTCCAAATGTGCTGCCTCATTGCAAAATTAGGGATAACCCACATGTGTCATCGTATGTAATATATAATTTTTTGTTCGTATTTTGTTATATTTGATATTTTGTTTATTTTGTCAAATTGCTTTTTTGCAATTTTAGAGAAGAATGGGAGTTCCTAAAGCAACAGAGTAGTCAAAAACCTTTCAGCAATTCATCAAGTGAAACTACTAGCGTAGCTTCAGGAGATGAAGGTTCTTTGGAGGAAACCCAGGAAAATGCATCTTTAAGTCAAGGAACAGAACAACAGCGAGTATTTGTAGAACTCGTTGCAGCTACTGCAAGACGATTATTTTCATACATGGAAGTTTCCAATCAAGAAGCATTGGCTCACAGGTAATTTAAATTCTAAATCTCTAAATTTTGGTTTCAGAAAATTTTCAAAATTTCAAAAGTTTTAATTAAAATTGAAACTATACCATACTTATAAATAGATTTTCTTCTATTAGAGAAAAAATATAAAGCAAAAACTTTACAGATGCTTTTAGAAAATTTTGAAGGGACACAGAGACTTAAAGAAAAGTACCCCTAAAATTAAAGTACACTAGAATGCCCATTTAACTTGACCTCAATTTAACATTTTCGGGCATTTAACGTTAATTTCTGAAAGTTCCGATGATGCCTCTATGAAATTCATACAATTACATTTTTGATTTAATGTCCTTCGTTTCAATGCAAATTGGCATTTAACATTAAATATTTTTTGAGTTTTACTTTGTTTTATTTTTCCTCCATGAATTGAGAACCAACAGCAAATATGCTCTCCAACAGTAGTGCATCCAATTACAGGGTACAAAAATTATTAACTGCTGCAATGACATTTGTATTGAGATGGTGTTTTACTAAGTTTGCTGCTCTGAATTAGGTTGTGACAGGGAGTGTTCCTAATTTGTATAAATTTCACTATCACAGAGCACACTTGTATGATAATATTGTGATTTAATTATGTATGGGGTTGTCCATAAATTATGTAACACCAATTTACAATATTTTAAAAACCCACAGACGCATATGTAAGGCATGCTTGACCCCCTCCCCCAATAATTAAGTAACGCATGTTACATGACACCCCTCCCAATTTACAATCAGTAAAATAAATTATAAAGTAGAAACAATGAGTTGTATTTATTTTATTTGTGTTATGTAGTAAAATTTTTATAATTAAATCAGAATTAGTTGGTGATGCAGATTGCACCTACCAATAATATTGAGAACAATTTTTGAAGGAAGAATGGGAAAGTTTCAGAAAATACACTGTGCCCACACAGCAATTGTGGATGATGCACAAGCCGTGGGTCTGTTGCGCCAGTTTATTTGGAGTTTAAAAAACATTTTTTTCCCTAATCTAATAAATTAAATTAATTTTTTAAATTCTAACTAATTAGGCATTGTTACTTTTTAATTTATTCACATTTGTTTCATTTAATATGGTAACATTTTAATGTTTTAGTACAAGACTGAATAAAAGGAGTTATTTCAGCAAACTTAATTTTAAAAATAAATATCAGCATAATGAAACACCAAACCATGACCACTTTATCCTTGTGTAATGCAGTGTAATGTTGCCCCACCTCCTCTTTTGTGTTAGGTAATTTATGGATCACCCCTACCAAAGCCTTTGTTATGAAAGTCTTGCTATTAATGAAGGCTTTGCCCCTACAATAAAAACTAAGCATTTAAAAGAAATGAAATCAACGATTCCAAGTTAATTTTAATTTTAACTTGTTTCTTCAAATTTGAAACCCCAAAGCTTCACTTAGTGTAAACCCTCAATTAACTTAAGAATTTTAGGCTCACTGAAGTGACGTTAAAAAAAGGGTTCTGCTGTGTTAATGACCATTAATGTGTTAATGACCTTCAAAACAGCACAAATACATCTTACTCCTGATGTATTAACCAAATTTAAATTCAAAATCTTTTAATCTAACCAAGTTAAGGCTGACACATCCATCCATGCATTCATTCATTCATTATGACATCCCTTATTTTTGGGTACAAAATTGTGTGAATCTCATCAACACCTGCACTAATCTTAAACATTTTTGGAACATTACTAATAGATCTAAATTCTGATGTGTGAGTGAAGCTTCAAAACAAACCTGAAACAAAGTTTACAACCAAAATTCAAGAGTGTATTCATGAGGTGAATCTATTACTTTATCTTCTTGTATTATATTATAAGAAGAAAAAGGAAACCTACTCATAAAATATTTTGATTTTTCTTAATAAGAGGAAAATGAAATTTTTATAATGTATCATCAAATGTGATTGTGTTTTATTGGATTTTTGTGCAGGCTTTATGATGTGGAAGTGGTTGATTTGAGCCCAGAAGTTTCATTTTTAATCATTGTCCCTCCCGCTGAATCTGCCTGTGCTGTTCCTGGGCAAAGAGATCTTCTTCTTCAGCGAGGAGATTTAGCTGCTTTACCTGTTCAAGTATTTGAAATGGTTCATCTGGGTACCTATCAGCGTGATGTAATATCCCGGTATTCTCGTCTTAGCTGCATTCTTGAACTAGATACTGTACTTGCTCAACATAATCATAGAGAGGTAAAGTAGTTGAAGTTTATTTAAATATCTTTAAAATTAATATTAACATGCTTTTTAAGAATGAACCTAAATTATCATTCTTGTACAAAACATCATGAATCACTACATATCATTTCTTAATCATACAGGCTTTTTCTTCATCTGAAGTAGCAGCTGCCAAAGACCGCTTGAACCAGCTTCAAGAGTTCCAAGGGCAGTTGAACACAGCATGGAAAGGCGCGCGATGGCTCATGGAAGTTTTAACTTTTGCTCGAGGCAGAAGGTTCCCAGTACAGGATCTGGTACTCCAGGAGTTGCAATGCGCCATCTCCTGACCATAACAGACCAGCAGTCCTGCTACAGGGTCAGAAAAAGATCTAAAGAGCACTCCTTGCATCAAACATCAGGAAGCGGTGAGGGCAATGGAGTAGCCAGCAGTTGCAGCCTCAAGAGAAGTCTCCTCCAGTTGCCTCCCAGAGACCCTAAGTTAGTGAAATCAAGTGCAAGTCGAGGGAGCTGGCCTGGACCAGGTGTTGTCCTGGAAGGGTTGCCTGTCTCCTTGAGGCCGAACTTGGTAAGAGTGAGCAACATCTTCCCAGTCAGGGAAACCGTAAAAACAGTAGCAGTAGCTTCAGTAACTGTTCTGGAGCCAATAGTCAATGCCATGGTCATAGTGGAGGTGACATTAGCAATGCATCTACTCTTTGCAGCAGGATGGCAGGTGCAAACAGTCTTGGTGTTGCAGGTATGATATTATTTTCATAGCTATGTACCATTATTTTTAACAAAATTATCAACATCTATAAAATTATGCATGTTGTAATATGAATTAACATATTCTTTTATGAAATTATAGAACAAGTGCATGCTTCGTCACTGTCAGATCAAGGTTTATTAATAGCAAACCTCAAAGCAGCCAGAGATAAGAAATATAGACATTTTTCTGCTTTTAATTTTTTAAGCAAATGTACTTACTGAGTGAATTATTTTTAGTATCTGCATGCACATTTTGATTTTCTTATTATTTATTCATGGCATATTTGTAGGTAATGAAAAATCGCTTACCACCTCACGAGTGAGGACACTTTGCTTCTGCACAGCATTCTCATTCCAAGGCAAAACACATTCACATTCCTCTACTATCACTTAAAGTGTCTCAGCCTCGACATCACCCCTCCTTTCTGTCCGTCCACCTCTGGAGGAAGTCTTTTAGGTCTTGCTACTTCTGCAACTCCAGCAACTAGCATGCATTCTTTATCATCAGATGATTCAACATCATCTCCTGCAAGGTCCACAACTGAAGATGAAGATGACTTAGTGCAGCCGAGCAAGACAGTTGTACCTGCTCCATCTTCAGGAATTTTGCAGGTAAGAACAAAACTTGATTAAAGGTTACATGGTTTCATTGGATCATACAGAAATTTAAATTTAAAATATTCTTTTAGAGTACATAAATAATAAGTGGACAATATATTAAATTATTGGTCTAGAAATTTAATTTCTGTACAAGTGAAATCTGAACTTCCTTCAATTATAACTCTCTCATGAATAAGTAGTCTCTGATACCATATCTTTTGCATTCTACCAATGAAACTTTGTCAAATATTTTTATTAGTATTTTACTGACAATAGTAAAGTACTATTAAATTCTAAATAAGTATGGATTTATTTCAACAATTTCAGTTTACAAGTAAAACATGCATCTGTAAACAATTATGAGTTATCTTGTATGAAAACATTTCTTTGATCTCTAACTGATACAAAGTATCTATTCTGATTACTTTGTTGAGAAACTTACATTGTTCAAAACTTCAATATCCCAATATTTACTGTGAAGAATGGATATTTATTCTCTTTGTGCTTCAAAATTTGTTATTTCTTTCATGGACATTCTAGGAAAAAATATTTTGCTTTTCTTTTAGAATGAAATAAGTGAAATACTCTTGCTCTGAGATATTTGTATAATATTGGTATTTTTTGTTTGCTCCAAATATTAACTTTTTATTTCTATATACTCCTGATATCCTTCAATAAATCAAAATCTGTGAAATAAAGCTGAAGTCAAACATTCAGTTAATTCCATCCATGTACGCTGTTGTTTTTTGTTGTTGTTTTTTGTAAAAGTATTCTTTCCAAATCTTTTTGAATGATTAATGGAATAAAAATGTCCTTCTTGGTATTTCAGTTCAACCATTCCATGAACTAAAATTCCCTTTGACTTGGTGTAAGGATTTTCTCCAAGAATTGATCAGTGGTCATAAATATTAAAAAGTAAAGTATGACCTCTGCATGAATTAATATATTCATTACTGTTGCAATCAAGCAGTTATTAAATGGAGCAGTCACATATTTTTGCATGAATTTTGTATAGATTTATGATGCATGATAACACATTAATTTGAATATGTGAATTAGTGTAGTTTTGTAATGTGGTAGTGGATATATTCATTCTAGGATATACTCCTCTATAAGGGACAAATCTGTTGAGAGACTTAAGTATATATTTATTAGAATAATTGTACAAATTAAATTGTATATTTATTTTCCTCATGAAGTGTTGGTATAGTGGCTCAAGAAGTGTCCCAACATATTTATCAAAATAATTTATACAGAAATCTTAAAATGATGGAACACAGCTTTTGGAATATGTAGGAAGTAAAATGTTTAAACTGTGAACATAATGCAACTACCACTGGCTAAGCTAATTCTTCTTTGAAGTATTTTTTCATAATTTCACACTTAAATATATTCAAATACAATATTTTTTCTCTTTTAAAGTTGCTGTTGCTGTAAAGTTGTATCTAAGTTAATTCATTTAGATACAAAGAAAACATTGAGAAGAGAAATTAAAATAGTAAATAATTATTTCATGAATATGCTTTTTTGATATTAACAATTAATTGCTAATAATCCCATAGAAAGACTCTTCCTAAAACTATTTTGACAAAAAGTGTGGTATTGTTCCATTTTTTAAATAAAGCTTACTAATTAATAAATTTTAAATTTATTTTGCCCACATCAGTGACTTTATATACTATTGAGTTAATCCTAAAATCTAAGCACTTTTAGGATTTGTTCTTTGAAGAATGCCATGGCTATATAGATAACTTTTACATATAGTTAATATTTTTGTTAAACCATTGGCAAGTTGTCTCACTTATAATATATCTGTGTTATTAAAGTTACATTCCTAGAGCATGTGTCAGCACCACTTGCTCAGAAAATGTAGAGTGACTTGGATTATAAGTTTTGAAATAAAAAAGGTACACAATGAATTGTGTAACTTCCTGCTTTTGAAGTTTTTTAAAAATGCAAACCGTAAGCATACGTTATTGCTTAACTTTCCCAAATTCTATTAAAAATATTTCATATCAATCCTCATATTTCTGATGAAGTGGTGATGTATAGTTTCTATCAATTCAATTTTACTTGATAATTTTGCATTCATGTCCATCTAACATGTTTTATTATAGAAAAAATGCATGTCTCAGCAACTGATTGCTGATATTTTCTAACTTTGTAGTCATCAAGTTCTTTGTTATTATTTTATAGTATTGTACATTTAAATTGTTACATTTAATATGTTACATTTAAATTGAGTTATTCCCATTCAATCATACAGTTTCATTTCTAGAGATCATCTTGAGTTAAATTTTGGTGTCTATTCAATCTGTAATATTCCAAGTTGTTTTGTTTCATAACTTACAGTAGCTATTGAATATGAAATTTATATGTGTTTAAAATTTTAGTTCATAAGACTAAACTCAAGTTACATAAAGCATTCAAAAATTTTAATAATATAGATAAAAAATATTTCAGTTTATTTAAATGTTCTGGAGGAATCAACTAAGTTTCCTGTACTTTATTGTTTAGTGAAAAATGCCATTAATGTTTCTTTTTGGTATTGAAGACATTCATTTAGGAATCTAATCACATTTCAGTTGCCCGCTCTGTACAAGAATAATTAGAAAATGAAAAATATTGGTGTAGAATTAACAAGCCCAAATTGAGAAATTATACAATTATCAAAAATAATTAAGTTCCTAATTGATTTGGCAAGATTGTGTGAACTGCCTAAATTATTTATTAGTTTGTGGACTTGACACAAAGAGAAGATTAAATTCTTTAGAAACTTAATCGCACTTTAATTTGAATAAACATATACTATATTATTTTTATTATACTTTTTAAAGATGGCAATAAAAACTGTATTCTTTCTTGCACAGTAACCAGTTTTAAAAGGTTTAATGAGCTCTAAAAATTAGAATTATTAAAGAAAATTAATAAATTATAATAGATTTGGTTCAAAGAATTATTGGACCAATTGAAGAAAATTTTCCATTCTTGCATTTCTTTTTAACAGCAGTGAATTATTCAAATGTAATGTGTGGTATTATGTAAATATTTCTTTGAAAACTCTTTCCTTTGGATCCATGTTAATGAAAGCTTTAGTAATTAACTTGAATGCTTGGTTTGTTTTTGTAATGTCATGAAACATTGTGTTGCAGTATATGCTGCTTGTGAAACTGGCTTGGCAAGTGGAACTAGCCTTAAACTGCATGTCACTCCTTGGACAACAGCCAGAGAGGTTGTTGACTTGTAGTGAAACAGCTCAATATGGCAGTGGTACTGAAAGGCAAAGATGGACCTATTTATCCAAATGACAAATTGAGAAATTGTTGCCTTGTGGCTGTCATTGGAGCGAGAGAAGTTGTTTGAGAGATGACTTCAGCCTCTGCAGCTCCAAAATCCATGGAAGGAAAGTCTCGTTTGTATGTTCGCCAAAAACATGTTTTGGCTGCTCTTGAACAGAGTGCTCGACATACTGCATGTATCTAGCTTTGTTTTTCAACAGAAACAAAACAGTTTAATAATGCTAATAGTGCTTTAAATATAAATAAATTTGAAAATATTAGTGATTTAGATTGATATCTTTAAAAAGTAGTGTCAAACTGGTAAGGCACTCAGCTTTACAAAATTCTGAAAGAAGAATCTAGTCATTGTTTATTTTAGTAAAAGAGATGAGTTTAAGGACAAATGTGAAAAATGTATAGTTGACATTTCATTGAGAAATAATAACAAATTTTTGATTATAACAAAATCAAGTTGTAATTCAGAAATTTACTGATGTGGATAAGCTAAATAATTACTTAAGTATTATAAATTTTATTGCTTTTGTTATTATTTACCTGTTATTCCTAGCTCTCAAGAGTTTGCTTCTGAATCTCAAAAAAATTATTGTTGTAGAAACTCATCCTCTCTCCTGCTATTTATAATTAGCCTTGAGTAGAAAGGGTGAGACTATTTTCTTTATCAATTATTCAAAACTTGGTCATTCTCGATTCTTCTCTCTCTGTACACAAACTAATCATTTTTGTCTGAAAAATAAAATGTTATTATTTTCCAAATTAGTTTGGAATGGTCAGGAAGATTGAAGAGGATTTTCTCTTTGTTTGAATTGGATATACTGTATCAGAAACTACTTATATCTCAAACTACAGTTAGAGTGTTAAGAAAATATAACTTGAACTTTAAGAAGAGTGAAAATAAAAAAAAATAAAATTTTTGCAGTGTATCAGATACAAACTTTGTTCTGAATCAAAGTGAAAAGTTAGCTTAAACATTTTTTTGATAGAGACAAGGATTGAGATCAAAATATTTGATCTGGAAAAGTATGACTGAGTGAATTTTGTTACTTATACAATCTTCAACTTCAGAGATTTGTGTTATACACAGAAATTTATAGAAAACTTGAGATTACAAATTAAAGAGGGAATTCAAGACTGTTTTATATGTACATATGTGAATTAGACCAGAAAGTCAGGATTTAAAATCAATTTAAAATATTGAAATAATCAACTGGCCTTGTAATATAGAAGTGTTGCAGAAAATGTTATTTTTAATCAATATTAGTGTGGTTTATTTTATTGTAAAAAATATTGAATTGAGTTTTTTCATTGAGTGTTTGTTTGTTAAAGTATGTTGTACATAAACAAAAATATTTGTGTGTAAGTGTAATATGAAAAATTGTTCATATGTGTAGATACATGTGTACTAAAGTGTGAATGTACCATACATTTTTCAGTCTCAAATAATAGTAACATTGGCTGTCATTTGGAATGTATTACCAGAGTTAACTAAACAGTGCTTTCATTTTCATTTATGTTATTATTTGATGAACAGTGTGTACACTTACTAACAGAACTTTATTGAATGTAGACAACTCTGAATGATAGGGAAAATAATAATTTTAAAAAGTATTTATACACAAGTTCCTGCTGTGAAACATATATAATACCTCTATTTTGTAGGACAATTATTGAGGAAACTCAAGGAACACCATTCAAGCTGCTACAATTTACAAAATAAATATCAGAATTGACGGTTATAACATCAGTCTTATCGTGATGTAAATGTGAACATGAGTCTTAAAAGTTGTGGAGACTGACTGGTTTAAAGGGTGCTGACATTCCAGAATTGAGACTGAAATGTAATTTTTTTTATTGCTAACTAAATTGGCCAGTTAGATATTTTAATCACATAATGTAATGTCCCTCTAACCAATTTTATAGTATAAAAATCATATATAAATCATAAAAAAATAAAACAGTGACTGTAAGAAATGATTGTAACATACAAATGCTGGAGACACAAAGAAATAAAAATCTCATGGCATAAATGTACACATATGTCTGAAGATATGTTTTTTGAAATGTTACCTTTTTATTAAAATTATATGCAAGAAATACTAAATCAAGAAATGTCCTTTTATGAGGAAAACTATTAAAAATTTGATTTTCACTTCTGTATTGAACAGTGTAATGTATGTACATTTAATATATTGAGCAGATTGCTGTACCATCAGAGATTATTTCTTTCACAGATTTGTTTTATTATTTGAAATTATTTTAATTTATATATTGTATATTTGTAATATGATCGAAAGAATTAAACATTTAAATAATTTGATGAATACATGTTTGTATTATAATTTTCAACACAACATTTAGATAATGGAAAACAACTAAATCATCATTTTTTGTAAATAGAGAAGAGACTACACAACAAAGTAATAGAACGTATTTCTATCAAGATGATCAGAACTAAAACTAAAAATACTCAAAGTTTAATGAGTGATTGCTTAATAACATGCCCAAAATATTTCTATAAAGCACTGAATGTATGTATATTAAGAAATATTTTTGTGATAAATGTACACCAATATGTTGATAGCAAAAATTCTGTTAGAACAAAACATGAGAGTACCTACTAAAAAGATAAGCATTGCATTTACAGGCTATTTATTACTGTTACTGATTTAAGTTTGAAAAGAAGAACATTTTGTATGTATTTTAGAATCCAATGTATATAAATGCACTACATATTTTGTTATGTCTCATCTGCATGTCAATGGAGGTTGTGTTTGGCTCTGCTGTTCAAAAGTGTGGGGCAATAGAATGTTGATGTTGGAGAAATGGATTTTTTTTATAGAACAAAACTGCTTGGAAGAACCCTTCACAATATAGTTTTCTACAAAACCTCTATGAATTTAAAATCGGAAATGTAGATTGATAACTCAGGGAAGGGGTACTAATTTGAAAAGGAAAAGTGCTTGAATGCATGCTAATTTTCATTTGTATGAATCAGACAATTAGTTTCATTCTCTTTTTAAATTAGTGGATAAATATTTCAGATCTTTTTTTTAAAGGAACTAAGAACAATAAATCATTGCTCTGACTTTTATTTTAAATGAGAGTTATAGGTATTTTTAATTTCTTGGATAATGTTATGTAACGCTGCAGAAAAAAGTGCCAAATCTGTAAAAAAATACATTTTGTGAGTCCCTAAATTTTTCCAAAATGGATTTGCCTTGATTGTGTACATAGTTTATTACTTTCCTTTATATGCAGTGCCAGCTCTAGATATGGGCAGACAGGGGGGGGGGTCCTGCAAGAGGCTTGACGATGTGACTGAGAGTAAAAAAGTGAAAAAAATTAATCTTGGAAAAATTGTTATCATAATTTTATAATTCGCGGTACAGTAGTATAATGTTTCATAAAATTTTCAATTAATTCTTTAACTTAATTATTTATAGTCACTTTTTTATAGAGGTTAATAAGATATTAAGGGGGGGGGAGGTTCAGCATTGCCCCAGGTCTAAAACTGTCTAGCAATGTTGTTGTGCAGTCAAAATTGAGCACAGTTGTACAGATAAGGTAATTTTTCAAAACGCCTGTCTGACCATTCGTTTATGGACACAATAGCTTCTAAACATACACAGATTTTATTCAAAATTGATATTCCGCAATGGATCTGACCACACTTGTAATCTTGCCAATTTAAAACAGATCTTTTAATTCTGGGTCTTCAAATATCCACTTCGATTAAAACATTAAGTCTGTTGACACTTGATCAGCTGTGACACTGTCATCCAAACGGGAGCTTGAACGTCTCTCCAAATGCAATACCAGAGCCGAGTTGTCAGGTGAAGAGGAGAAGAGCATACTGCATGTCCTCGTGTATCCACTCCATACACAACTGATCAAGTGTTAAAAGAGGATGTGTGGAAAGGCGGGATGAACGGCAAGATGAGTTAAAATGATCGCGAGCAGTAGTATAAGCCTCGCATTTCTACCACCCTCCACTGTTCCTTGTTCTACCATGAAGAATTCACCCCGAGTGAGGAGGGTGCGTAGGGGTCAGCCTCTAGCCTCACTCCCCGCCGACGCACAAGTATGCTACAGGCTGGTGCCTGGATCCCGCCCTTCCCTCTCGGCGAGGAAAGATCGCGAGCATGCCTTGCGTGGTCTACCACCCCACACTGTTCCTTACGTGACTTCGATAAGTATATAATATATGCACCACACTGCCCCACTGATGAGAGCTTAGAGCTATCCCGGTGGGGCGGTGCCCCGCTGGAGGGCAAACAACGCATGTGGATTCTCTGACATTCTGGGGAACACCAGTCTCCAGGATATAACATGCACTCTATTTATGGGCTAATGAAATAGTTAACGCGCCAGGGAATACTAAATAATAATAGTAATAATGAATTATTATTATGTTATATTATTATTATTTATTATTATTATTATTATTATTATTATTATTATTATTATTATTATTATTATTATTATTATTATTATGTAGATATTAGTGGCTTCAGCAGCAACATGCTATACCAGTGGCGGGCCGTCAGGGAAAGGGTGAAGGGCATACCGTACGTCATTGTGTATCTACTCCAACCTCATAGGGAAGCATTTCAGGGACTGTGCCGAACTGTATTTGCTTGCGGCACAGCTGCGACTCAAATCATGTGACGGTTGTTATGACAACCACGGCGGAGAATGAAGCGACGGCTGCCTCCACTTCACACCTGTTAGAGGCTCTGAATGCTAGTCTCTGAGCTACGTCCAATGCACCGTGGAATGCAGCATAACCCAGGGGTCTGGTTAATATTCTTATCGCAACACGTCTTCAGCAACTTTTTGGGTCTCCCACCAGAACGTCCAATATACTGAATTTAGTTCAACCTACAAATTCAGAGTCCGTGCACGAAGTTTGAACAAAAGGAAATGTTATACCATTATTTAGATAATTATCACTAAAATTATCTTAAAAGTGATCATTATTTGTTGAGGGATTTATGACTGGTTCATTACATTGGCGCTTCTGTTCTTTCTTTATTCGTCATTCTTGAAGTCAATTACATGTGATTGATTGTCTGTTCTTGTCTGCGAATGTGCTTGTTCGCAAGTGCGGTAGTGATGTGATTAATTTATGCAATTTGAGATAGCAGACCAGTGCGAACCATGTTTTCTGAAAGTGATTTAGTTCTCAGTAATTCAGAAAACATTCGAAGAAAAATTTATTAACAGGAATGCAATTTTGAAGATTAGAATTAATATAATCTTTCAAATGTAAGGTAAGTCTTAATATTTTTTTCTGCGTGTTAGGTTCTATAGGTTTCGTGGTTTGCACTTTTGAAGTTGAGTGGTACGCTGGTGATCAAAATGTGATATGGACACTATTGGTAGTGAATGTGTCAAAATGGAAATGTGCGCGCTTCGGGTTTGACTCACGTGATGATATAGAAATGAAAGGATAAGATCAAGTGATCAAAATAGTGTAAGATTCGGATAAGAGATAGCACTTCAACCCGATTTCAGACCACAAACAATCACTGATACATACCGTACAACAGCCCTTTACATACCATGGATATAAAATAACGACTGTTCCATAATATACCACGTGAATAGCAAATATTTAATGGCGGACGGCCTCTTCCTTGGATCTATACCGTCGTATGGTATCGGCTTTATTGTAAGCAGTGACTCATTGAGTGAAATAATTTAGAGTATGAGAATCTTACTTGAAACACATACGATATTTTAAACATTTTATCAAAAGCCGGTCCAAGTCCCGGCGGAGGCAGGACTTTCGACACTACCTAGGTCGAATTCGCATTGTCAGGAGGAGAAATCTAGGGAGCGGCTGCTCTGAGTTTT